TGTTGATCTGTAAGGCAACTCCTCTAAGCAAAAACAATCTACACAGAGATCTGGAAACAAAACCACACGTACAAGCAGGCCCTGCTACTTTGCTCTTTTCTGGCACTGCAGTATGAAGCTACAAATTATTTTAATAAACCTGGATGGTCAAGTTGCACTCGTCTTGCTGGCTGTGCAGTTTCTACACAAAAGAAAGAGTTTTCAAAGAAATGAACCAGCACACATGCTCTACACTAAGACCAATGGCCTTCTTAGCGCCTCACTCCATGTTTTGAAACTCTTTCCTCACAGATAGTAATATGCAAACTGAGCTCAGCCATTGTAAGCAGCATTTTCATTAGTCTCAGTGAGATCCTCCTGACCCCACGACACGTCTGCTGTGCACTGATGTATTAATTCTCTGTTAGATCTCTGTGCCAGGGAAAACTCGCTATGGGAAGCTGCATCTGCTCCTATCTCCCTACTCATTCACTGCCACTCTTCCAAGTGATTCCTCTGTTTCCATCCGAACTTCCTCATGCTATCAGCACCAGAATAATTGTTTCAAGTGCCTCGGTTGTAGCACACCAAATTTTCACTGCTAAGCAAAGGACAGTACCAGCCCTCGATCATTCGTGTTGCTTAACTGTTAGTTCTTTCCCTGGCTCTGTTTTAGACTAGTCCTTCTACACAAGTGTTATCCTTAACAGGGACTAGGCCTAAGCAGGACCTCCTTGTGAAGAGGACTCAAATTGGTTCCTGCCATATTATTTTTTTACAGTATATTCATAGCCTAAACATGCACTCTAAATGGCACTACACGAGTGATGAAAGCCAAAGAGAACGCATGTGGTAAAAACCTCAAGAGATGAAATCAATTATATCATTGCATTTCTCATTTTTTAGTATCATATCTGTGTACAGGAACTGAGAATGAATGAGAGCAAATGGAGACATCTGCAGCAACATTCTGTGGAAATTAAGCAGAGAAATTGTGAAGTCTAGACTACTTGTTGGACAAGTTCAGAGGCTACATACTCCAAAGCCAGACACACAATTTAAGTATGCAGACTTACCCAAACATGTAATTTATGCTCACTCTTGAATTTTTCAGCAAACTTCCGGATTTGCTTGGGATTAGATATATCCAAAATATGCAAGGAGATATTCTAAACAAAGAAAAGTAGTTATAATCAACACAGACAATGAACAGACCATGAGTGAGTTTGAGGCCTGCCTAGGTGAAAGTTATTTAAGCCATATGGAAAAATATTCTCTTCAGAACACAACTAAAGATATTTTAGAAACATATACAACCAGGAAATGTAATTCTAGACCTTAAAACATGTTAGTCACTAGATCCAGTTGCTTCCAAGCCATGGCTTTTTAATGCTGAATTTACTAAAGAGAATCCTACTTAGATAAATAGCTGCCACAGACAGTCATGCACAGCAGAATACTAGAAAAATACAGTAATGCTGGCAGAGCCTCTGTTCAAACAATACATAGAGCAGCTTCCTCTTTAGCTGGAAGGAACGTTCCAAAGCAATGCGCTAGGGTCCCAGCAGGGCACCAAGCACTAAGGTCACAGCACTGAGGATGACTTAGGTTGGCAGAGAACCCTGAAGGGAACCTGGGCTCACACCCTGCTCACCTCAGGCCACCAAGATGGGGTTGTTCAAGGCTTGCCCAGGGGACCTTCATTTATCTCCAAGCGTGGACACTCTCTAGCTTCTCCAGGATATCTGATCCAGTGGTTGACCACCATCATGGAGGAAAAAAAAATCCCTATTATTACTATTATTTCCCCTAATATCTAATCAGAATTTCTCCATGCTGCAGTTTGTGTCCACTTCCTCTCGCCCTTTCCCTGTGCACCACCAAGAAGAGCCTGGCGGTGCCATCACTGCATCCCATCATTATGGGGCTGTAGGCAGCAGCAAGACTCACCTCAGCCTTCCCTTCCTAATATTGACCAAACCCAGCACTCTCAGCGTCTCCTTGTTCACCACATGCCCCACCTTTGTGTCACCTTCATGGCCCTCCAGGACACCCAATGTCTTCCTTGCCTTGGGGAGCCCAAAGCTGGACGCAGGATTCCAGACTCATGGTCTCACTAATGCTCTAAGAGGGGAGGGAAGCGTCCCTTCCTCCACCTGCTGCCTGCACTGGTGCTAATGCAGCCCAGAATGGGCTTGGTCCTCCTTGCCCCAGGGCACGCTGATCACTCAGGGTCAACAGGGTGTCCCCAGGTCCTTGTCTGTCACGGTGCTTCCCAGAGACCTTCTTCAGCCTGTGCCGCTCCATGGGGTCACTGCAGTGCTGGGGCAGGACTGCTCATGTGCCCCCAGTGAACTTCATGTTCAGGTCAGCCCCTTTCCTCACCTGTTAAATCCCTCTGGAGAGCAGCCCTCCCACCCACATATCAGCTATTCCCTCTGTTTGATCTGTTCGATCACCTGCAAACTGGTGGAGAGCTCCTTCCCTCCCGTCATCCAGGTTGTTAACAGAGATGTAACATAGTTTTGGGCCCAGCACTGATCTCTGAGCAAGTCACTAGTAACCAGCCTCCAGATGGACTTCATCCTGTTCATCCTTTGGAGCCCAGTTGTCCAGGTGGTTCTTCTTCTGACTGGTTATCTACCAGTGCAAACCACAGCTCTCCAGACTCCCATTTCAGAGCAAAGCTCTATGCATTCAAGCCACCCCGTGCATACAATTCCTCCTCACTGCTCTCCACAGCCTGCCCTCCTGAGACAGCCCGTATACAACCACTACAGCACTCTAGCCAGGCAAACCGTGTCTATAACCCCAACAAGTTCACAAATCTGCAACTACGTATGAATATTTAATCCTTCCTGTTTGTTTCCCACAGTGTGGATATTTCATGGACAGGCACTAGAGACTGACTTCAGCCATGTGGCCTTCACAGGGAACCTCCTCCATTATGTTGTCCTCTAGACACATCCTTACTGGCCTCACACATCTACACTCAAGATACTCTCCCCCAAAGTCATTGGTGCCTGTTTCAATCGGCAACAAAGGGTACAATTCAGAGGGCCACATAAGCCTTAATAGAGTCTTCTTAGTACCCTAGATCTGAGTCCTTGACAGGCAACAAATCTCCCAGAAATCAAGCCAGGTTGGCAGACGAGCATGGTGCCTCCATCCCACACACAAGGGAGCCTCCAGGCACTACCACCCACGGCTTCATCCCCAAGTTCACGCTTGGTTTAGGCTCAGCTGTCTTCAAAGCCTCCCCTGGCAGCACTTGCTCTTCCTTGGCTGTTACCATGGCACTAATACCTAGCCTGTAAACACACATCTGCAGGCAGAGATGCCTTCTGCCTTCTGTCACCAGCAGTCACAAGCTTCCAGCCTTCCTGATCTTGGCAGTCTGTCATCTGAGTGCAGTCTCCAGCTGTCCCTCCTTCCATGCAATGTGGGGTCTGTGATCTTTTAATCCATGCAGAAATACTGTCAATCTTCTGTTGACTCTCGCTGGAGCTCTGCGCTCTGCTCACCCCCTGCAGCTCAGCACCTCAACCACAGCAAAGCCAAAGAGATGCGGCCACCACCACAGTCTGCTCCCGGCCTGGGGAGAAGCAGCAGGTGCTTTTTGCTGTCCAAGATTTGTCACATGCTCTGGAGCAATGTGTGGGTCAAGGCCTCCCACGTGCCAGGCACGACCCCTCCAACCAGCATAGCACAACGTGCCTCACTTTACATGTAGCAGCCTCAGGTGCCTTCTGCACCCTCTTCCACAATAACTGCTGCATGAACCACCAAGTCCCTGCGAGGTGCCCCATGTCACAGCAGTCTTGCAATGTTTTAAATACTGCAGGCAGGGATGCTGATGCAATACAATAAAAAAATGGAAACCTTTACTTGAGAGTAAACTCATCATTTCTTACCCATTATAGCTATAAATATTTCCTCTCTCCAAAACAGCAAAACTCTTTTACTGTTTCTTACAAACAAATCCCTTGTTGTTTTGAAAATTGGTGTTCTCTCCAGTACAAGCACAGTGGCATTTATCAGCATGCAAAAGGTAGGTCAAATACTGCTCTTTTGGATTGCCCTTAGTTTCAAAAACATAGCACAGTCCTATGACACATCCCAGGAAAAGGTTCTAAGACAATAATACAGAGAATGTGTTCCACAAAAAAAAAAAAAACACTAACAAACAAAAAACCAATATTCATTAAAGCACTTCCCCTCTTTCCAACCTGTTTCTTTAAATACAAGTAGAACAGATAAGTGAAGAAGCTGGGAAAATTATAAGGCACTATTCCCAGTCTGTAATTCTGCTTTCCTGAAGATAAAAACACTTTATTTCTTCTCTTGAGCTAGATTTCGGTTCCTTAGTTGAGGAAAGTTAGAATTTCTCATCGCAGTGTTTATTTCTTACCAAAACCTGACACTGTACTACAGTTCCTGCCTCTCTAAAAGCTTTCCACCTTCAGCACTACTGGAACAGACAACCTGCTGATTTTTGGGCAGATGTTCAAATGTACAAAAGATTTTGGCATAATTGCAAATAGAGAGACATCTGAATCAACACTTTTCTGCTGAATATTGTAATATTGTCTCAGAGAAATGACCCTTATCTTTGTTCGCCAAAGAATCTTCCATGGTAGCAAGGTCATTTTCAAAGTGAGACCTAATCTCCAAGCCTGAATCTGCTTGAACAGACCAGGAGAACATCCACGTTTGCAGGTCTAGGTTCAGGCAACCGCCACATAATAACTCGATTTCAGCACTGAACTCGGGCATCCTCTGGTTACTGTTGGTGTGGCATGAAGATGAAAAAAGCCCTTGGTGTCCACTGCAATAGCACTTCTGTCCAGGCGATGAAGAGCAGGACCCCAGCAAGGTAACTATGCATGCAGATTGTCAAACTGTAGATAAAGTAAATCTTTTGCATCTGAATGAATATTTGCAAAGAATGATATTTTTGTGCACTCATTCAAATTACTTTTTCCAGTGCAGTCTCACGTCCCACAAGGCTCCTTCAACAGCCAATCTATCACTTAACCGAATGCTCCTTTCTGTGTAACTGCCCTGTGCCCCAGATCATGCACAAGTTCTGCAGTGCTCTTGTAGCCATCTACTTCTAGAGAACCTACAGATCGGCCGCCTACCAAAACTGCAAATTGTGACTGTGCTGTGTTTAGAGGAAGAATGTTACTTGCCTCTAGGTTTGTTTCTTCAACAGACAGAACAGAAAAGAACTTTCAGAGGTCACCAAAGCCATCCCTGTTCTCCAGGTCATCTGAGTGTGTCTCTGTTTATTGCCATTCTCTTCTGAGTTAGAAAGGGAGCTAACTCTGGTAAACACTAGTCCTTCCACAGTTGTATGTTATTATAGCAAGGGGATTATGCTGTTATAGACAACTGGAGAGTATTTATTTTTACATAAGGACTGGTCAGTCTAGTCCACCTCCATTAAAGAACTGAAGTGTAATGTCAGTAGTGTTGCACTGGGGAGCTACAATCAAACAGCACAAAATTTAGTCAATAAGGTATCTCTAAACATAAAAAGTCTTCAGAATTTTTGATCCACATTAAAAACCACTAGTGGAATCAAAACACTTGGTTCAAGAGCCAAGTCACTATCTAATGAGAAGACAGCTTTCCATCTAAGGTAAAAGTGACAGCCCATCTCCCCGAGTACCCCCTCCTGAGCCATTAACAGAGCACCACTGAGAGCTACAGGGCTGTACTGCAGAGTGAGAGAGAAACCCTGAGCAGAAAACAGGAGATAGGGAAGAAATACAAGAAAATGAGAAGGAAAAATTGCAGTGCATGGAACTAGGGTTCCACAGGACTCCACAGAGCAGAGGAGGCAACCCTAGCAAATCAGAGGCACCTTATGCATACATGTAAAACCTTGGACTCTAATGCTGTAAACTGATAGACACTTTTGCAAGACTGTTGCACTGCATTAACCTTAAAAAGCCCCAGCCACATAGTTAGGAATAGTAAACAGGGTGTCACAAACATATCAGCAATAAATATTAAGTAAAACAGAATGCTCCTGGAGATGTAATAACCACAGAAAATATCACCGAGTGAAATTAAACTATTTGAGTCTATAGGGATGATAAATTGTTAGCTTGTACCATGTCTTTATGAAAATGCTATTAAAAACACAACAGCCAAACAAGCAAAGAAAATATCTCAAGATCTCTGAAGTCTTAATATCAATAATATAGTTGAAACAAAAGGCTGAATAACAGCTCACCTGATTACCTATTTCTGTCAGGATTTCTTCTTTGGCTTCCTGGTCCCCGTCCCTGTTTCCACAAACCATGTGAACCGTGCCACCTGGTGGCTTTCCACAAGGAACACATGCGACAGCTGCTAAATGTGCTTGGGCGGGGAGGATGTCGGCAAAGAGAAGGACAAGAGGCAAGCTCCGATCTGCGATTTCTGCATGTGCTGAGCAGGCAAGAGGGGAGCCGAGGCTCCTCGTCAGGGCTGCTGGAGCTCAGCTCTGTGCAGCTCCTGGGCCTCTCGTGACACTGCAGAGCTGGGAGCAAGGACCAAACATCCCGGTTTGCCAGCCTTGCTCTTTCCTCTTGGCAATTGCCCCCTCCAGGCAAACTACTGCACAAACTGGACACACCAAGGATCCCAAGGTCTGCCAAAGCACTAAAGTAAAGGGATTTTAAACAAAACATTCAGGACTCGATGAGTGGACATGCAAAGACAGTTGAAGTATTTCTACTTGGCTCTGGCCACTACAAAGGGACATAGAGGGAGAATGTGTCCCTGCTGGAGCAGAGAGGTTGGACTAGATGATCTCTAGAGGTCACTTCCAACCTCAACTATTCTGTGACTGTGTGGGAAGGTGGCTGCTGCAACAGGCTTCCACACCATGGCTGTGTGTAGCCACTGCAGTGTACACACCATCTGCTCAAACCAACTTCTGTCAAGTTTGCATGTCATGTTTAATGTAGACGAAATACTAGGGCTGCACTGGAATTCAAGCAAAGGAAACTGTGTGATAAAAGCTTCTTACGCTGCACGCTTCGCAACTATTGTAAAAGGGTTGAATGACACAAGTGATTTGAATACTATGTAAAAATGGGAATAAAAGGCCAGATATCAGATTTCTTCCCAGTAATAGCAGAGGAGGTAATGAGAACCTTGGTCACAAGCTGCAGCTTGGGAGGTACAGGTCAAGTTTGCACTGCAAGATGAGAACAGCATTTCATCAGGTTGTCCTAGAGGTGCTATGAAATTTCCATTCCTGGTGAGCTATCAAAATCCATCTAGACAAAGCTATTGCTGATTTGATGTGCTGGCAACACTCCTGCTTTGAGCAGGATGTCGGACAAGATGACCCCTAGAGGTCACTTCCAACCAACATTTCTATGAATAGACTATGCAAGACATATTCTGCATATTCCTCTCAAGGAACTGGACACCTATCATTGATTCATGGCTTAGACACATTAAAGAAAGCCTTCATAAACAGGACTAAAGTAGAGGTAGGTATGCTCTTTTATTTCTCTATACTGTTCTCTAACCATAACAAGGATTTTTCTTTTAATGTTTGAGTCGCAGGTACATTTTACTTGCACTTCTTTTTAAGGGTGTTCTTAGTTTCTTAGCACTCTTCTAGTGCTCAGAAATTAAATATAAGAAATATTAAATGTACCCTAGCAATAGAGCTACACTCCCCTAGCAATAGGGTACACTAGAGCATTGATCCATGTGCTACACAGGCCATTTGGGGATTTTTTCCACTGAAGCCCATTACAGCAATATCCTTAGCATGCAGCTTACAGGGGGACAACAGCCGGGCAGATCCTCTGAAATTTCCAGCAAGATATGAATCCTCCACCACTCTGAAGGAGTTGATTGGGTTACTAATGCTGAATGCACAGCTTTAGGCAGCAATGGTAGACTCCTCAGCCTCGGATATCGATATGCATGACAGTAATTGATTTTTAGTATGGGTTTTCTTCTTCAGTTGTGTTAGTGTTACAAATCTTCTGGGCATGAAAGGGACCCTGTACAGACAGGCCTTGAATGTATACAAACCAAAATGGAAAACAGTCTTTCCCCAAGGGAGCTTAGATTTCAGGAGTAAGAGAGAACCAGGATGGGCAGTGGTGTTCAACGCTTGCATGTCTGTCCACTTCTCACAGTAACTGCAAAGGCAGCCTGTAATTAGAGACCGAAAGGCAGATAAATAAGTGCATTTGTAGATGTTCAGAGAACTATTCCCAAAGCATAAGGCACTGCAGAGAAGACAACACAGGTCATATGTACCTGTACAAATTTAATAAATGAATGGCTGGCCTTCAGGGTGACTGGGAGCATTTTAGTCTACGTTGAGAGGTGTCCTGTCAACAGAGGTGGTTTTGACTCTGAATAGGATTCCTTTTTCTTGATGTTAAGAACACAGGGAAGTTGTGTGGTGTGATGCACAGTCAGGAAAGCTTTTTCCATAATAAATATCTAAAGTTGTTGAAACTTGAACAGCACATGGGAACCATAAAGAGTGGTTGGGATAAGGCTGCATCAAACCGGAATTTGCAGTTCACAAGAAAGAGGAAAGAACAAATGTGCAATACCCATAAGACATTGAAAAGCTGAACTCAGGCTACAGAAGGTCATATCTCAAGACTGCAGTTAATTTACAAAGCTGTGCAGCGCTTGAAAAAGCCAATGTAAAGTGATATACCAATGTGGCCATATGTCAAGCTACATTGACTTGGATGTTCTTTTGTTGAGTTTGAATTCCTTATTTTCTTGTCATGATGTGCTTGAAGTGAATTAACCAGGAGCTAGACTCCTCAAAGCTGTCAGGATGTTCCAGAGTGGTACTCTAAGGATGCAGTCAAGAAGACACTGATAATCATTTTAACTTCATACCTATAGCAGTACCCTAAAAGAATATCAGAGAGGCAGCTTGAGCCCAAGAGTATCTTTTGGTCTCCAAATACTAGCTGCAGCGACCAAAACCTCAGAAATATAGGCACCTTGTCAACCGACCTACTTGAGACGGAACAGACAAAGCAACTCTATGTAAAACAGTTATTATGTATAATGGCAGTATTGGGAACTTGAAATCAACTGTGACATCAGCATCAACAGGAATCTTTAACCTTTAAAATTTTTGAATTAGTTGAAGTTAACCAAGCCCAAACTCTCCTCCATAAGGCACTTGCTAGAGCCCAGACAGGCAAAAAGAGCCCCACAAGCTCCTCCCTTTTGTTCCATATGCCAAAACTCTTGTCATTCTTGCACTATAGGAATTATTTTGGTAATTCTGAAAGCCTGAAAGGGATTATGTTTATCTTTACATTCTAGCTAGTTGCAGTTCATTCTTACTTAGATACATCAATAGAAGAAACTATTGCACGCAATCAGTTAAGGGACCTAAACTCCAGATTATTGTTGTTAAGATCAAGTACAACTCTGATTCTTTTATATCTGCCCACCTCAATTTAGCAAAGCCAATTGTTCTCTTTCATCCTATAACACAATTGGAAGTTCTTCAAAATAGTTTAAATCCTGCCAGGCAGCTACTTGCACTGAATAAGCCTTAAAGTGAGTTTGATCCATCACTGAGATCTCTAGATGCCTCTATAACTTACAAAGTATTGGTAATCTTTCACTTCAGAAAAAAAAAAAAAAGTAGATCTTCTTCACTTACTTGTTTTCTCTCATTATTTCCAATTTTCACCCTACCAACCATGCTTAAAGCTCCGATGTGCATCACCAGCCCTGTAAAACAACCTCCCTGGATGCCCCTTATAGGGAAGCACGTGCGTCTTCAACATCTGTACTAGGAAACCAAATTTGCCTCTGTTTCTCTCTTCTGCAAGGGGTTCCCAGCGCTCCAGCTCCCCTCTCTTCACCAAGACTTTGGCCATGACCTTGCCAATGCCACTCTTGTCTTCAGTGGCCAGGAAAGGCTACTCAGCCACATCCACTTCGATATCCGCGGGGCTGAAGTATGTGGATACTGACTTGTAGTCGATCCTGAACAAGTCGGAAGAAACCCGTGAGAAGGAGAGTATACCACATATCCATTAAAATAAAATTAATTAATTAAAGGCCTGGAAGGTTTACAAAGTGCTTTCCTAACACTGCCCAGCAAACTGGACAGGACACAGCTGCCTGGAGTGGGGGGCCACATCTGTAAGCAGCAGCTTTCAGAAACAAGGATTAAAAATTCACCTTTCCTGGCATATGTGGGAGGGGCTTTGGGTGGGGGGGAGTGTTCCCTTAAAAATAAAAGTGGGAAGCATTAAAAATGGCTAAATTAAACTCCTTTCCCCCTCGTCCCCCACCACCGACAGTACGTTTTGTAATCCCGCAACCCCTTCACCCCACGGACGGGGGTACCAGGACATCGTGCCACCTCTGCTGCTGCCGCCATGGCCATGGCAGCCCCCCTTCTGCCCTTACATAAAGGTGCCTGCCCATTAGATAAGGGCCCAGGAGGATGGAGGACACCCATGAGGTGCCACCATTACAGGCCGGCTGCCCGCCCACTCTCACAGAGGGGTGGAAATGGCAGCTGTGCTGACTGCTGCTTCCTGCAGCCCTTCAGGCCTTTGGCTTCCTTCCCTCTCCGCCTCTCCCTTCAGTTCATTTCCTTTCCAACCAGCCAGCAAGGAAAAGGATCTGTGTGGAGCCACCTGATCTGGCGTGATGGCACTAGTTTGGTCACACTTTGTCTTCACCCCGTGCTGTCACCTCCCCTCATGCCCCATGGCCGCCATGGCTCAGCCTGACGCATCTCTGGCCGCTGGCCGTGTCCTCACAAGTGTCCTAGCCGCTGTCACAGATGAGATGTTGGCCTGTGGTAGTCCTTGGCCTCCCCCGTGCTGCTCTTGCTCTGGAAAATCACCACAGGGATATGCCCTTGCGCACACATAAATAACCTGTTTGCATCACCGAAAGGTGTTTTACACAACGTAAAATCCCATGGACCTCTAGCAGTGCAGGGGAGTGGTACTCAAGTGGCTGTTGAAATAGCTACAGGGAGATTGAAAATGTGCTCAGGTCCTCAGACATACCTTTTGGAGCTATGAGGTCCAAGGGACTTGTTTGGAGATGCAGATCTGGGCAATCCCTGTTAGCCCTAAGGAAATTGCCGTTACAGGTGTAACTGCATTTATAAACACACTAAAGGACTGTAGAGCTATGTAGCTCAGTTTGGAGATGTCAGATGAATTCATGGTGGTGAAAGAAAGGAGGGGCTCTGCCTTTTCTTGACCATATTTGTGATAGTCTGATGCTGGTTTTTGCAATGTCTAGGATTGCTGCTCGAGCCTCCCACTTGCCCAGAGAGCTGCCTAAATATCAGGTTCTCGCCCAAAAGTTGGTTCCTATCACGGAGCTGCAGCTTTGGAGCTCAGCCCTGCCTACATGTGCAGGGTGCTGTGAGTGAAATGAGGTTTTCCAGAGTGCAGAAGGCCACATTTTCACAAAAGTGTCTTCTGCTGTCCACTAATTGTCCAGCTAAAATGTTTTCAAATCTGAAAATGCTTATTCTTTGTATTAAAACATTTGAAAGAATTTATTTGAGTACTCACAACCCAGGATGATTTTAATTTATTTAGTTCTTGCAAATAGCTAGGACCTCTTGGCTAAAGTGTTTCTAAGCAATTCAGCCTGATTGTAATGCTCAAGATGAAGACTTCTGGACCAGGAAGGAACAGCTTGGCAATAGTGTGAGTGACAGCATGTTATTTCCTGTAATGAAAAATGAATGGCAACCAGAACTACAGCTACATCCTATGATGTCTGTAAGTATATAATTGTAAGCAATATGGAAATAGTTTTGCGATCATCACCTACCAAGTGCAATTTGCAACCCAAACTGTACAGCCTAGGCTGCTATAATGATGTTACATAAAGACATTCGCTGTGAACAGAGCAGATGTTTGGCTTATGTGAGTCCTGTGCATGGTCTGCAATAATATTGCCTGAATCCCCTTGCCCTCATATCCCTTTAGCTCCCCCTCGGCCTTGCAGTCTGCATAAATCTGGTCAGTTAATCTCCTTCAGAACCAGTTCTGGGAAAATGCAAAACATGGGGAAACCAGAAAGTGATGGGACTATGATGCCTGCCCTTATTAATATCCGGTCACAAAGCTGCAGCACTGCCCCACATTTTAATACTAGTTTAATACTAATTAGGGACTGTCCTCACCTTGGCTATGTAGCCCTGAGCGCACCTTGGGATGCTGTTATTGGAGCAGTAATGTGCCACGGTTGCTTACCCCGCAGAATTAGCTGCCTTCTTTACAGGAGGTATGCTTCCAAATTGAAAAACATCAACAAGTCCCCAGCAAATCAAAAAGCCAATCAAAGCGCCTATGAGTAAATGCAATCAGCTAGGTTATGCTTTATTCCCTTGCTTCTTATTTTACTCTGGTTATTCATAGGCACTCGGACTATAGCTTAGTACAAAGCAAAAATGAGTGACAGCTCTGATGTGTTTTGCTTGTCATTCCAGTAGAGGTTCTCAGACCAGGAATACCTCCCTGCAGTCGTTGGCTCTCTCTGAAGGTAAATAGGGAGTGTGCAGAGAGACACAGGGTGCTGCCTTCCTTGCAGCCTAAAACGTTCAGATTGAAGCTGGTAGAGCACAACTGAGATACATAAACCACCAACATGAGCAAGCGTGGTAAAAGCTGTCCATGAGTCAGACACAAAAATATAAGATATCCAGACAACGGAAGTAGCTTATAATAATTTGGGGTTAAGCGGTAATGTGAAATGATAGCATATTACTCGCATTATTTAACAGTCTCAGAGAAGATAAAATTTGCGGGAAGAGATCTGAATGCAGAGTGGGGATCAAGCGTCACTCTGGTATATACACAAAATCCTCTAAGCTTAGTGTATAAATCTAATAGCACCATTACTGTGGTGCTAGCCAGGGCCTCCTAACAAATGCCATTTCCAAGAAATTTTATCAGCATTGAGAAGTGGCGCCCTTTAAGCAGTAGCACCACACACGCAAACAGACGAAGCTGGAAGACGTTTGCTTACACTCACATGCTTTTCCAGTCGTGAGGGCCTAAACTTGCGCCCAAAAGGGAATCGTCAGATCACCGTGTTGACATACACATGTATAAATATTTCAGCCATGAAATTCTGCCTGGCCTAGCAGCTTCATTTCAGAACCAGCCTTTGAGAACTGGCCTAGCAGCTAGATTTTTCTGCATCCTTATTTCACCTCCCGGGATGTTTTGCTTTTGTGCTGTCCTTCTAGAAGCAGGAGATCGCAGAGATTGAGTGAATGCCCTCTGCTAACCCACCCATCACTGCAATGAGGCAGCATGTGTCATGTGCCTCAGGGAGGCTATAAGAGAATTTTCCTGCTAATTGGGTAGTGCCAGTGAAGGACCTGCTTGGCATTACTCTCACAGGCAAAATTTCCATCCACATCAAAAGTGTTGGCTGCGCACTGCTTTTTATACTGAATTCTAGTTTGATACACAAGTTAGCTGAGTTAGAATCTGTTCTGGAGGTTTGAAAGAAATGGAAAGTTACAGTTTTTTGTTTCTTTCATGGTTGATATTAGTTTAGCATTAAAATCAGATAGCAGACTCTCCCAGATGGGAGGGATTTCTGAGGCAAGGAATTCTTCTCATTGATTAGCCACCAGCATCTGAGATAACTATCTCAGGCAACAACTGATACATATCCATATCCTGTCTGCCCTCAGAACAGGGAGGCTCCAGAGAGCCACAAGTCTGTGGCACTCCTGGCATTTCCCCTATTTGAGCACAGAACAAGATAGCTTCACCCTGTCAATGTTTAGTCCTAATACAACAGACTCACTTTAACTATGTCCCTTGAGGACTGGACCCACTTAAGGATGTCTACCCTATCACATAACTCACAGCATATTTGTAGGTCCTGATTCTGCTATTGGCCATACTACATAAATGTTAGTTGAATCTCAGGCTCTCATTAGGTATTTAGCAGCTTTTTCTGTCCAAATCAAACTAAAACATGATTTGGAGGACAGTTTGCTTGAGGGATGATTAATTGCCAAGCAGTATGGGTGAAACTGGACTCACTCTTCTGTCCTAACAGTGCTTGCACCTTCATGCCCCCATATATGCCCTTATCCTGGGGCTTGTGACACACACTCTCAACCTCATACTCTAAAAATGCCACTACTGGACTGCAATGCAGCCCTTGCTATTTCAGACACTTTAGAAAGATAAAAGGACAATATATCTATATATTTATATGTCTTAAGGGTACCACATTAAGCCCAGGGGAGATGGGAGCCACTGTGCACATCTGGGCCTGCAGTCGGGGACCCCTTGTTCAGATAAGTGTATTTAGTAGCGTAGAAGTGGCATCTGAGGTTGTTAGATGTGCTCTCCACAAATACAAAAAAAAAAACCTCAAAGGAAAAAAATAATCTGGAGAGTTGTATTTGTGACTCTCAAGGTATTACAGGTTTCATGTAGTGATGAACTGAGGCTTTCACAACTTCTTAAAGCACAACAGCTGGTGAAAAATGCCTCTCTGTCTCCCCACCTGGACTAATGGAAAATTATATCTAGAGTCAATCCATCTTTTTTCTTTTCTATCAAAGAACTGGGAGTTTTAAGCAAAGTATTAATTACCCCCCCAAAACAAAATATTCATTGCTGTGAAGGGCTCTGTGCTATATGGTGTTTCAACATGTTTCATATTCCCAAGGGACAGCTCTAAAAGGCTGATAGAGTACTCAAGAGCTCCATAGGAATTATACATCATACAAGATGTTTATGAGCAGCTTCTTTGCCATCTTGCCAAGCTCATCTATTATTATTTTTTGGAGCGGCTAAAAGCTCTGTCTTAAGGACAACCAGCTCCTTTGCCGGCTCCTTACAGGAGACCTGGCAGGCTGCTTTGCCTTCTCTCCTTTCCTTGCAATTACCGATTTTTTAATTAAGTCTCTGTGCCTGCCCCCATTAAGTCAATCAGAGCATCGCCGCTGATTGCGGTGGGAGCAGGAGCAGCCTTTAAGGGCCAGAGCTGCAGGAAAGCTCCGTGTCTGTAATCGGGGATGGCTTTACAAAGGAAGGGGGAACCACGTGCAAGTCACTGTCGTGTCAGGAGCCGCTGAGAGCTGAGTGTTTGCTTCAGCTGTGGGTGCTGGACGCTTGAAAACTCCCGCTGTAGAAAGCAGTGCTGCCCCAGTGCCTATAAGGATGATTAAGGGCTGTCATCAGCTCCGGGGAGGCAGTCAGCACCCTTTCCTTGACCCTGCTGAAGCAGGGGGTTTGGGGAGCAGCCAAAGAGCAGCATCCAGGCCCCGGAGCATTAGGGATACACCCGGATTGCTCACGGTTTGCAGGGAGAGAGAAGACAAAGCTGCTCATCTCGAATG